TTTACACAACTTAAAGAGGCATTCTGAAGAGTTAGGTAATGTTTGTATAGTGTTTTAAAGATGTGAACTGCTCTATAACTTTAGTTTTGAAAATAGAAATGATGAGTTTCACTGATCATTTACAATGCTCTATAGATAAGAGGACTTAAAAAAAAACATTTTTATCCCAGTTGGGTAGACAATCAAATTCTTTACATAAAGCATGTGGGATTTTCAGGTCATATGAATACACTGTGTATACTGAAATCACTAGATTCAGCAGACTGTTTTTAAAACAGTGTAAATAGAAAACCCTTCCCTAGTTAGAAAGGAGAGAAAGAGAGAGAAGAGAAATACCTAATCATTTCTAGAAGGCTCAGCCACCAACTTATGGCAGACGTGGAGAGCACTATAGTTGGGATCCAATGAAAAGAGAGTGATCTGTTAACACCACTTCTTCCCTTGCGTTAGCTAAAGCTGCCAAAAGAAAGCCAAGTTTGAGAATGCTTACAACAACAGAGTTTGTAACTGTAAGTGTCAAGCAGTCCTAAAGCATTCAACCTTGTTGAATTGACTGCGTTTCTCTAGTGGCCAGCCACTATTTTATATTTCTTTTTAAAAGAATTGATAAATAGAGCTTCATAGTACCGTAGTACAGTGATGATATAAACACGAGCAAAAGTTGAGTGGGAATTTAATACTGTGCCTTTAAGGAAGCAAGACCTCAAGGGATATCTAACTCATATCGACCTTTGTCTCTCAGAACAGACTCTGCTGGAGATGCCTATGGATTACTGCAGACCAAAAAGTATTTCAGATCAGGATCTTGGAAAGGAACTATTGCTATCAAAGTATTTTCCTTTCTTTTTGATCTTTATTGTCTTCTGTATCTTATCAGGAGGGGGGCTTGTGTATCGAGAATAATCATCTTGTTTTTTAATTAAACCCTGCTGAGTCACAGATCTGTTCTTTCCAACTCAAATTCATTCACTCAGATTAACACTGAACAATTAAGAAAAACAAACAAACAAACAAAACACCATATTTTAGAAGTGGTGTAAGTATAATGAAGTTTCAAGTCACAAGGGAGGTTTGAACACTGATGATGGTGCACTCTGGCCATTTGAAATTGGTTCAATGGCTGCTGTTTGCTGCTCTGCTCTCTGATCTTCTAATCACTGCTTAGGGCCTTGTTTTGCTGCTTGTTTTGCAGTTTGTATTTCTGCCAGTAAGGGCAAAAACCACCAGGTCTTTAATTTTCAGAGGACTCAGCCATTGGGGATGTGGGGAATCGGCTCTGGAACAAGACTATCTGAACCTGGATTTGTTTCTTGATGTCACACAGCTTTGACAATCTTCATATAAACTGCCATGTAGTTGCTTTGCAAATCTGCTGTAGAGATTTGAGGCTGTCAGCAAAAGCTACTCTGCCACAAACTGCATGATACTTGACGTGATCTTTAAGCTCTAGGCATGCCAGTCTACAACAGTGAGAGATGCAATCTGAGAAACACTTAGACAAGACTCTGAGTTACATCAGAACCCAATGAAATATGTCACATGGAACAAAGCTCACCCTGTGACCCAAAGTCTTTACCATCACGTCTGAAATGACCTTCCATGTACCCTCCTTGAGCTAAAATGTACCAAATGGTTTCATCAGCTTAAAGGCCAAATTACTATCATCAAGCTCAATTTCACAAAAAGGGCTGCTGAAAAACTGGTCTATCTTGGAAAACATGCCTTTAAGCAACATAAAAGCAGTTCAGTCTATTTGGTTATCCAAGAGAAGGTTAAGAGGCAACTCAATCATGGTCTGCCAGCACTTAAATGGGAATAAGATTTCCGACAGTAGACAGCACTTTAATCTAACAGACAAAAGCATAGCAAGATCTAACGGTTGGAAGTCGCAGCTAGACAAGTTCAGACTAGATATATGGCGCAAGTTTTTAACAGTGAGGGTAACTAATAACTTACTTAGAGATACAGAGGATTCTCCATCACTTGAAATCTTTAAATCAAGATTGGATATCTTTCCAAAAACATGCTATAGCTCAAACAGAATTATGGGCTTGATTCAGAAATTATTGCTAAGCCTCTTTGACCTGTGTTACAGATGCAGTAAGACCAGATGATCATAATGGTTTCTTCTAGCCTTAATCTAGGACTTTACATTTGATATATTTGTGATGGATCAATATTTCTGCCAAAAGAATATTCATGGATCTTTTTTTAAGCTAGTCTCATAGAGATGAAGAAAATAGTTAAGCAATTTCTACTGGGGGCAATGAAAATTATCCAAGTAGGTACTTGCACAGCTTACTTAATCAACCTGTTGGAAGGCTTCATCCAAGAAAACACCTTCTCAGAAATACTAGGCCTCAGTAGCTCATCCTTCTTAGAAGCCACTCTGACAGAAGGAGAGATCCTAAGCTTCAATGGAGCAAAATGCCCAGGTTTTTTATGAACATCTTTGGCTAGACTTTCTACCTATTGGGACAGGATATTTCTAGCTCACCATGTACTCCTAAATTCTGTATCCACAGAATTCACCAAAACCTTGTAAACCTGAACTGAGTATAAACTATGCAGCACTGTTCAAGAGTAAGACCAATTAAAAGAAACGAAAAGATTTTAATGCTGAATTTTTAAAAAGATGCACGTAAAAAAAAAAACAGTTAATTTGTGGATGAGGAATCATTTTAAAAATGGTTGCTGACAAGCACTTGAGCCTGAATCACTAGACAAAGCTTCAGAATATAAGTACGGGTTTTTTTAAAAAATAAGATAAGCTTGTGTCAGCAAATGTTACCAGCAAGACAGCTTCTCCTAAAATGCTTTTCAAGAACCAATCTAGAAACTTTTAAGGATCCAGCAAAAACGGTTGTGTAAATGAAACTTCAGTGAAAAGTTGAAATGTATTTTGTATCAGAAATAGAATGTAAGGTTTGTGAATTTCTATAGCTTCAAATAGAAGGATGCTTTATTCTTTTTATCTGTATGCTTTCAGGCATCTGGTACTGAAAAAGAAAATTCATTCTTGAAAAACATTGCAGTTGGTAGTCATTATGACACATTCGGGAAAAAAAATAATGTGTGAAATAGTAAGATAATTTATTTTTCAAAACTCTTTTTCCCTCTGTGTAACCTAAGTTTATCTTTATGGAACATCTTTTCACAGACTTCTTTTCAGGTGCTCAGTTTTAAAAAGCTCTTGATTTTAAGTTCTCAGCTGTATCTTAAATGCACATTACTTTACTTAACTTGAATTATATCAGTCTCATGTTTGGGAAATTACCATATGATGTTTTCAAGGAGGCTGATAACAGGTATCAGTGCCCAGAAGCTTTGGAAAACAGGATTTGCAGGTATCCTGTTTTTTCAGCTCAGAGATTCTAAATGACCTGAAAATATCTGATTACATCAGAGGCAGAAAGTGTTTGCAGATAAGAGGAGATGCAAAGATGGAATTAGAATTCACTTTTTTATTTTAACAATTATTTCATAGTCCACTTCTTTCTGATCAGGTGGATTATAGTAGATTTCCTACAAGCAGTGCAGTCTTCAAAATATCTTCTGCATTAGTCTCTTTCTTTAAAGGGGTGATATACCCTCTTTCACAGATAAGGTAAGTTCTGTAGACATTTGCTGTCTTTTCTAAACAGACATCTCTTATGAGGCATGATTGTGGCAGCAATAGGGTAATTACTAAGTTTTAATTATCTTCCCCTGAGATCCATTCATACACAAAAAGAAAGACAATACAATTTTTTAAAATGTGATATTAATTTAGTCACGTTAAGAATGTTTAAAGTGCTAGGGCCTCAAGAATTTGAAAGCCTTCAGTGTAACCCTGGAAACCAGCAGCTTCCATCCCACCTTCCTCTTGGTCTGATGAATGAATCTTTGAAGCTGATATGGTTTTGTATTAAAGCTTCAATCGAGAAGGACAAGTTGGTTTTTTTTCTACTGAGAGCCAAGTTTAAGTCTCAGAGCAGAGCTAGCCCAGTACATATGTATTTCATACACTCCACAAATACAGAGCAACACAGGCTGAAGCTGCCCATTTTCAGACCCACCCCGAAGGTGTGCACATGTATGCGTGTTCCCTCACAGGTTAGCACAGTTGTGCAAAGTAGCTTGCTGAGCACATTACCCAAGCCATTGCTATTTCCACACTAAATTCACACCGACTTTTGCTTTAAATTGTTTACTTCAGAAATGGTGAATCATTAAAATGAGGCTATGTACCGGATTCTCTTTTTAGTTTAACTACTGATCTGAAAATCAGTTTACTAAAGTGTCATAATCATCCAAGCTAATCGACATTTAGCACATTAGTTGTTTAAAATGGTTTTAATCTTCCTTCTTTAGGCCCATAACAACCAGCCTCTTGTGCTGATTTAACTTAACATGCATCTCACTGGTGAGATTAAACCAAACTTGTAACTCCGCTGCATTATGAAGACAGCAGCCAGCCAGTGAAGGAAATGCTATATGTGGTTTTATATACAAGAGGTAGGCATCAGTATTATATTGCATGAATATTTTACTGCTAGATTCTTTATCCACACAGAGTAAGGTACACTAATTATATGCAGAAATAGTAAGAGTTACACAATTTTAGGCATTTTCAAAACACTGTTTGATTAATAGTGTCATTTAAATCAACTCAGTGATGAAATCTATTATCTACGTCAAACTACAACATAAATATTACTTATATTCATAACTGGGCAGCCTCTGAGTCACTGATATTCATCCCCATTCATTTGCTAGGTAAACAGGACAGTATTATGACAATATAAAATAACTAAGTTCTTAGTTTACTTTTTGGGTTAATAAGAAATTAACATAATCAAAACTATGTTTTCCTTTCTAGTTAATATTTCTAACAATGGCTCAATATGTCTCTTAAAAATCTATTTCAAATGAAAGCCATACAAACTAGACAGAATAGTAAATTAAGCTAGATCTTTAGAAAAGCCTCTCAGAAAGAGGAAGAAATAAAAATGTTTTACCCCTTGATGTACAACTTTCCCACAATCGTCTGCCAACCTTCCAAAGAATAAAACATTGATGGTGCTGGTCTTTGAACATGAATTCTCTGATTCTATAAAGAGAAGCAAAAACAATCCAGATTACTACAACCCTTTTATACCAAAATGGTGAGGAAAAGTCTCTGCGAAAACATTTTTCTATACAACGCAGTACACATTTTTATTTGAATAATGAAAACTGATATAAATATTTTAAAAGGCACAGAAAAGCAGCTATACAAACAATACTGGCTATATGAAATAGAATATTTTTCATGTGTCTGATCACAATTTAAAATGTGCATGTACAGAGAATCAATGTATATTAAACACAGAAGTGACAAAGCTTCCACTTGGATGATTTATGTTAGAGATAGAATACACTACCAAGTTATATTTAATTCTCTGTATTAGCAAATAATATATGATATCACTATTTTATATGGAGATAATGCATGACTTGAAAAAAGTCCTTTCACCCACTTGTAAGTACCAAGAAGTTTTCCCTGGGGAGCTGGGAGACCTTAGTATGAATATCTGCTATAATTAAGCTTTCATTTTAAAACATATTTCTAGCTGCTATGGTTACAGAAATAACCATCCATGTGTGAATCGATACAGTCATTTTCTTAAAACTGAAAAGAATTCTAGTGCCTCTGCTGAGGCTCACAGATATCCTGAGCGGTAGCAGAGTGAAATTAACAAAACTCTGGGGAGGTTTCAGGCCTATTCAGACCTGAGTAGGTAGCAGTGAAACAGACAATGACTGCATCAATTTCACCTGCTGCTGCTAGGAGCATCAGCACTACAGATAAGTTTCATCTACACTGCATGCCTTTCAGGGGTGTATAGTGTACATATTCATGTAGCTCCTGTAGCACAGGTCCAAACAGCAGTGTAGATGGTGAGGCATGGCTTAGGCGAGTAGAATAAAGACATGCTTGAAGGGTGTTTGTATATACTCAAATACGTATATACTCAAGTACACACCCTATAAGGCTCTCTACTCACCCAAGCCATGCCTCCCCATCTACACTGCTATTTTTGTCAGCGCGGTGTCCTGCTGCTTCCCCATTGATAGAGCCTTTCTCTGCTGTCTCCCCTCTGCCAGAGCTTTTCATTGGATCATCTAGCTACACCGTGCAGTGTGGACACAATGTGCTTTTCACTCTGGCATGTAGCTACATGTATACAACACGCTGCTGAAAGTGATGTGTAGTGTAAACGTAACTAGAGAGTAGAGGACAAAAACCACAAAATACCTCTCCAGCCTCAGGGATTAGAGTAATAGATTAGCACCCCCTTCCCTACCCTCATGCAACAACCAGGAGACAGAGAGGAGTCAAGTAGCAGAGATTCTCCAGTGGAGGACAGGATGGGGGTGAGGAGAAGTAAAGTGTGAAGGAGGAAGACAGAAATAAAATATTTTCTTCTGGGCCATGAGAGGGACTTCAAAACTTAAGACACTAAATTGCAGTGGCGGATTAATGATTTTGCCACCCCTAGGCCCTGAAATAATTGCCGTCCCCGGCAATGAACTCGTTTTAGTTATTTTACAAATTTGTTTGAACTAAAATGAATCATTAAAATAATTGTACATTTACAAGTTTTATTATAAATAAAATTACAAGTATAGCGGACCCTCGCTTGAACGCACGTCCGTATAGCATGATTTCGCTTATAGCGCGGGACTGCAGATGGATCTAAAACTGAGAACCGCTTAATTTCTTCTTTCCGGTCATATTATTAACGTTTAGGATTCTCGCGAGTATGTTTACTAAATGGCGTCGCGCCATCATTGGTGGTTTCAATATGCTCTATGATTGGTAGAATCGCGGCGTCACTGATGCTGCTTATTATAAATTTGTCGCCCCTGCAAATTTGTCGGCCTATGCGATAATACGCTGCTGCTGAATTGCCAGAGTCCAATACAAGAGTTAGAGCCCCTGAGTAGCATCTAGGAACACCATCTGCATTCTTTCTCCACAGGAACTGGTAGAGTTGGGCTTCTCAGCAGTTGTTTTGAATCTCACTGGCAATCTTTCCCTTCCTCATCTTTTGTTTCAGCTTCTAGCTGTGTAGTTTAGTCTTGACTACTAAATCTCTTTTTTTTTTTTAAATCCAAGTCAATCAGTTAAAGATATAGCTTTAATCTGTTCAACCTGGAATAGGACTCAATACATTATATCTTCTGTCAGCACAATGGCCACAACAAATGCTTTGTTTCCATGTATCAACTATGGTGATTACTAATGAATTTGATACACTTTGCTCTTCAGTTTTTCAAGTGGTTACAAACTGAAGAAATGCAGCATTAAGATGGTACATAAAAGTAATATATTGCTGGAACAATCTATAACAACAGATTACAAGGTTCCATAACTACAGGAAGTCTCTTGAAGCACTATAGTCACATTGTTTCAAATGACTCAGTGGCTAGTAAATTTAAAATACCATATTCTGAGGGAATGTATACAAAGATTTTTTTTTAAGCACTGAACACAACAAAACAGCTCTTTCCCAAGGTTTATTAATACTGATATAGCAAAATTTTAAGAGATGCATTAGTAACTTCAGCAAAAGTAAAGAATTGTATGTTTAAATGGGAATACCTTGAAGTACAATCTTGAAAAATTCTGTTCCATTTACAAGTTTAGTTAAAGGGTAGGAGAGAATAACTGTTCCCTGAAATGAAAGAAGAGACAAAAAAATTTTTTTTTGATTAACAAAAAACTCGAAAATAAAGCTATGAGCAACTCTGGGTCACTGCAACAGAAGTAACTAGTAGATGCTTCAAAGCACAAAGCCAACTTTTGGCCTGGAGCGTCCAGCATGAATTAATGTTATCGTGGCCTGACAAACAGATTGTGGGGGGAGGTTTAGAGTAATTTGGTGGTCAAGGTTAAGAAGATATGAGAGCCAGTAAGTGAATTTTAACCAAAAGGTGTCAGGTCTAAGAGGGTGTTTGATATTGAACAATTTAATCGTCTAGGCTAGAGCAACAAGAGAGGAAGAAAACAAGTGGCTAATAGGTGACCAAAACTAAAATAATCACTGCTTTTCATTATGTCTGATATATTTTTTTCCTTTTTTACATATGTTCTTGGACTTTCCACTCAGAGAAAAGAGGCACATATCCTGTGAGAAGTTAACTAAAGCAAGTAAACCAGAGAAGGCAGGAAAACAGTAGCTACTCCAAATATAGGAAATAATATTTAGACAGGAGGAGCATAACAAAATAATTAACTGAGAGTTACAAACCAGGAGATAAAAATGTGTAGGCACTAAAAATAAATTTTATTTCTGTGGAAGATTCAAGTGGACAAACAGACACATAAGCAACTCTCAGTAATTGCTACACAGATGCTAATGAGTACCTCAGAAATGTAGGCCATGTACTTAAAGAAGGTAACTACAAAGGTAGGTTTTGCTAGTTAAGGGCAAATGAAGGGCTAATTCACAGAGGTAAAAGAAGTGGCTGAAGAGGTGATGGAGGATAATCAGAAGGATTGAAAATATTCTGGAGGGAAGTATTGAGATGCGTGTGAAATTAGAGTCAAGAGACAAAAGACAAAAGTAAAGAAATTCATATGGGAATAAATAATCCTCTATATAAATGTATTTAAGATGTGGAGAACTGATTAGAATAGTGGTATCATCCAAACCCAGGGCTTCTAGAGTTTAATCACACCATTGTGTCAATGTTGCAAATACTTTTCGGCTGTAGAAAGGAACCTACTTACAATCAAACTACGTTTACGCTGAAGTCAAATGGAAGCACAGAATTATATCATTGCATTCCAATTCTAGTTATACTGGACAGCTGCTTAGAATGAATGAATGGGAGGGGGCGGAAATGGGATTTTACCATAAAGGTTAATTAACAGAACATGTAAGTCAACTGAGTGCATTCCTCCACACTAGGCAGGTATAGTGCTGTGTCCATTTTAAAAATAGAACAATATGGAGAATGGTTCAGGGGGAAGAAACAAACACGATGTTAGAAAAATAAATCTCTATCTATCTGTAAGAGAACTGGGTATGTTCAGTCTGGAGAAAACATGGTTGGAATAGAGAGGGAGAAAGACAACGGTCTATAAACACACAAAAGAAGCATTACCAAGATGACAGATATGTTATTGCCAGCCAACCAGGACAGAAAGAGTCATAGTGGTCTTATATCGCATCTCGGGAAGTGTGGGTTAAATATTAGAAGACAGTGTTAAGCAGTGGAAACAGCTGTCAAGGGAGGCACTTAAGCTAAATGAGGATAGGCTATATCAATAGCCATCTATTACAGACACTTTAAGAAATAAACAGCATTGGGCAACTGACCAGTAACTGAAATAGAAATCTCCACTTTAATCCAAATAATGTTTCTTCCTGATTTTTTTCTAAAAATATAATTAATAAAACAAATCCAACTACCCCTAATCTCCAACATATTTCAAATAGAATAGTGATTCAGAACATATTGTACAGCTTTATTGCCAAAGCAGCAATAGTGTTTCATTTAGAACAAAACTAAGAAAAAGTTGTAACATCGGTTATATTTTATCCTGGTAATAGTGCCACTTTTCAGGAGAAAGATGGCAAGTTCTATGGGGCAACATGAAATGTCATAAATGCACATTTTAATCACCAGCAACCACTAAACAATGCTTTATAAAAGTACTGGAAATGTCTCTAAAAGTACCTGAAGAAATAGATTTTCCACTCATATTTTAATTTGGGGATTTATTTAAAATTACAAGCAAAGGGTAACCTGTGTACAAGTTGTTAAAAAAAAAATACACCAAATTTTGCCTGCTGTCAGTAACATCAGTTATGGAATCCATAGTTCCATTGAATCTAATAGAGCTAGCAGTGTAAAAGCAGAAACTGATTCAAGATGGGAAAGGAGGGAGAAAGCAACCTAAGAGTTAATTACAAGCTGTGATAAATGAAAGGTGTGTGTGGGGAGAAATGTGGTGGGGGTGGGGAGGGGAGAGAGCTCCCTTTTATGAACACCCAGCCAGCCAGTTAGCTATAAAAATTCTCTAAGTAGCTGTTCTCTACTTGCTTTACCTGTAAAGGATTAAAAAGTCTCCCTGCTATGCATAGGTAAAAGAAAGGGAATGGGCACATGACCAAAAAAGCCAGTCGGAAGGCTAGAACTTTTTTAAATTGAGAAAAAACTTCCCCTTTGTCTGTCTGTCTGTTGTTCTTGGGGAAAGGCAGACAGGGAGCAACTATGCTGTAAGATGCTTGAGGCCAGGTATGAAAAATCATTGGTATCATATCTAGAACTACTCATTTAAAACCCCAGATATGTAAGTAAATCAGGAAACGTCTAGGAAGATGCGATTAGGTTTATCTCTTTTTATTTCTTTATGGCTTGTGGACTCAGCTGTGCTAACCCCAAATGCTTTTGTTTCGCTTTTGTTGAAACTGGAGCTCAAGAAAGTTATTCTTGATGCTTAATCCTTGTGGGTTTTTTTTTTTAATCTAGCAATAGCCTGAGTTTCCAGGTGTATTTTTTTTCTTTTTGTTTCTAATAAAATTTACCTTTTTTAAGAACAGGATTGGATTTGTGTGTCCTAAGAGATCTGTGCACATGTTGCTTAATTAGCTGCTGGCAACAGCTGATTTCCTTTGTTTTCTTTCTCAGCTCTTCCCCAGAGGGGGGTGAAAGTGCTTGAGAGTACTCCCACAGGAAGGAATTCCCAAGTGAGCCTTCCTGAGTTCTCAAAGGAGTTTTCCATTTGGCTGGTGGCAGCATCTACCCTTACAAGGTCAGAGAAAAGCTGTAACCTTGGGAGCTTAATACAAGCCTGGAGTGGCCAGTATTAATTTTTACAATCCTTGTGGGCCCCCACCTTCTGCACTCAAAGTGCCAGAGTGGGGATCAGCCTTGACACAAGCATAGGATAACCAGGGTACAAGTTGTTCAAAAAATACTCCAAATTTTAATAAAAACAAATGAGCAAGAATAAGTGTTCTGGAACTTTTGTTGGAGGGAACTGTTCTTCATTTGAGTTCATTCTGCTGCAGCACTATATGCTGACCTAAGTTCTCTAGTTTCATGCCCCTGCATTTAACATCTAGCATTAGTATAAAACAGTGGTCCCCTGGGGGGGATGCAGAGGAACATGCGGGGGAGAGGGAGAGAGGCATCCCTGCAGCGGGGCCTGGCCCACCCCCCACAGGACTGGGAAAGGAGCTGCACCCAGCCTCACTCTCCCCCAGCACAACGCTGCTGTGACCCCGGCTGCAGCTCTGCTCCACCCCAGCCCAACTCTGCCCTCATTCCCTCTCTGCCCCCAGGCCAGCTTCACCTCTAGCCCCAGCTTCTCCCCAGTTCAGCCCCCAGCACCACACAGTGCAGTAATGGAGGGAGGCTGCAGACCGATTCCATTACTGGTAAGGTGGGGGTGGGGGCCACGCAACAGGAAAAGTTTGAGCACCACTGACAGAACGTAAAAAGAAGGTTTAATCGCTTGCACTGTGGACTGGCACTTAAAGACAACTTTCAAGTCTGGAAAACATTCTGTGCTAAATAATGTCCTTTTCATTCAATCCAGTTGTGCTTTCACTGCGATATAGTCCTCAGCAGCTGGTTTACTAGAAAGAGATCTGATTATCTAAGTAGGAAGCCTTGAAGGTTAAGTACTTGCACGGCTTCAAATTAGGTGCACCTGGCTGATATAAACAACCATTTTACTCCAAGCACTCATGCAGCGTCTGGGCACATCTTACCATGGTGTGTGTGTTTTGGTTTGGTTTTTTTCCCTCCTTTCTTTTTGCACCTCAGTACTCAGAAGCCTATCTGTGTCTTCTGGTAAAGTGACAAAATCCAGTTTTGTGACATAAATCAAGTGGGCTTTCGATTAAAGTCTGCCTCATGGTTTACGCATTTCTACTGATGCAGATACATACTATGTATTCTACATCCTTAAAATTACATTTGATAGTGACAAAATTACACCACTGTTAGGTGCTGTACCTGTCTTTGGAAAAGGAGCTGTCCTAATCCAAGTGTCCTACATAGCAAAAAGTATCATGAAACCAAACATTGCACATTACAATGACCAACAAGGAAAGCAATACTAAGGGCTTGTCTACACTACCGGGGTAAGTTGACCTAAATTACGCTACTCCAGCTATGTGAATAACGTAGCTTAGCTGGACTTACTGCGGTGTCTACACCACGCTGCGTCGACAGGAGACGCTCTCCCATCAACTTACCCTACTCCTCTCGTTACGGTGGAGTACGACTCTCTCAGAGTCAACCAGAGAGAGCTCTATGTCCAATTTAGTGAGTCTTCACTAGACCCGCTAAATCAACCCCCACTGCATCGATCACAGCAGCGTCGATCCCTGCTAAGTGTAGACACGGCCTAAGTATTTGCATTGACGCTGCAAGAACTGTTTGTAGATGGCTTTCATTGGAGTAGCTATGAATCTCCCCACTTTCTTTCTTCCCCAACTACCACTAGAAAACTTACACTCCTAAAGCTCTCCCCAAATGTTCCTGAAGAAGTACAGGAGGTGTGCGGAGAAGTTAAATGTGTTCCATTAAGTAGTATGTGTTTTGGGCTTTTGCCCAGCACATGCTCACTTTCACAGCACTGTCCCTCATATATCCAAACACCTTTGTGAAAAGCTTTGGAAAAATGGTTTACAGTGCATAGTCTCCAGAGTAACACATTCCAACAGAATAGCTTGGACATTCATTTCAAGTGGCAGTTCAACTTAAGAAAATCAAATTTTTGTCTGAAAATATTTTAAAACTTATGCCTAAACAAACATCTAAAATTAGTGGGTCTACTTTTGCAGTTTAGTACTTCGTATCTAGTCAGTTTCACCGATTCCCCTGTGCAGTCAGTTTCATACAGCAAAAGGGGAGGGCAACTTTTAATAAAAAAAAAAAAAACAAGGAAAATGTGATTGTAAAACTACAAAATACAGTGGGGAGACTCAGGTCAGCTGTAGCAACAGGATTTAACTAGACTAAATTTCATGTTGCTTGTGTTCCTTTAACACCTTTGGATAAATTCATTGAGGATACATTCATTGAGGACAAAATGAATTTAGACATTGGCCAGAAAATTTAAAAATTGATTTGGCTCGTTTCCTTTTAGCTCTGCAACATGGTAATCCCTCTAGAGAGCGATAGTAACTATGGAGTTCAACCACTGAGATGATCTCAGTCTATTTTAGGGTTGCTCAGAGCTAGCCATGCAAAACTGGATTCTCCAGAGCACTTAGCACTCAACATTGCTTCCTCAACATTAAAAAGGATTAGTTTGCTAACTGTATTGTTTTGTGCCAAACAACTCTTTCATGGTTACCTGCTTATTCCCAGAAGAGGCGGCAGCAGAATCAAGCTCTCTCAATGTGAGACAAGCGTCCTAGAAGGTGATTGTATCTAGCTTCTCCTTTACAATCAGCTAAAATATTGCACTATCACCAGAGACACTAAATATTCTGCTTTCCTACTGCAGATGTAGATTTTGGCAGAAATATTTCCTAAGTTAGAATCTGCTTTTGTCTGCCTCAACATTTTACTCCATGTCCAGTAATTCTGTACAGTCTGTCAGGTTTGCTTGCAGAAGTGGCTGTTACTTGGCAGGCTGAAAAGCCAGAGTCTATATACTCCAAAGAGCACAAAAATATCCATAAGTGGGAGGAGAGGAGAAACCCAGAACTTAGGAGAATGTGGACTGTTTTTTTTCTCCTGAAAGACTTTAGGGGGTGTGGGATGTCATGTCCCTTTTCTCTTCAATTCTCAAAATATTTCCTCTCATCCTCTTGGGAATAATTCACTCCACCTCAAGAAACTGCAACAAGAAGCCCTACCTGCAGACTAAACCAACTAGGACATGGATGATTGAAGACAACGCAAAAAATATAGAAAGGAGGCCAAGACCTCTCTTGGCCACACACACAACATGATAGCACTTAGGAGAACTGAATTCTCTTTCTTTTAAGCTCCTGTGTTTTCCCCTTTCCCCTTATTACTCTCAGTTAGGGGTGGCCAACTTGTGGCTCCGGAGCCACATGCAGCTCTTCAGACGTTAATATGAGGCTCCTTGTATAGGCACCGACCCTGGGGCTGGAGCTACAGGCACCAACTTTCCAATGTGCCGGGGAGTGCTCACTGCTCAAACCCTGGCTCTGCCACAGACCCTCCCCCCACTCCACCCCTTCCAGTCCCGTCCCCTGAGCCTGGCGTGCCCTCGGTCCTCCCCCACCCCACCCCCAGAGCCTCCTGCATGTCACAAAACTGCTGATCAGGAAGTGCAGGGAGGGAGGAGGAGGAGGTGCTGATCGGCGGGGCAGCCAGTGGGCGGGAGGCGCTGGGAGTGGGGGGGGTGGGAGGGGCACATGCAGGGCTGCTGACATATTACTGTGGCTTTTTGGCAATATACACTGGTAAATTCTGGCTCCTTCTCAGGCTCAGGTTGGCCATCCCTGCACTCAGTGATCTGGTCTGCAGGTTCAGCCCCCCACAGAAACAACAATAAGGTCAGTTGGCTTGTGCCAAGATCTCACTAGTATCACCACACCTTAAGGGAAATGGATCTCTATATCACGGGCCTTTCTCTGAATGTGCACAGTATGCAAAACAATGATAGAAAGTTTGAACTGTATGGCTTGTTTGGCTTTTTCTTATAAACAGAGATTGTTTTTCAGAGCAGACCTAATGAAAGTTTAGGATATTGATTCCCATCCCCCAAGTGTTCGGGATGATAAAAGGGATTTAAAATTACAATCACAGAAATCTTATTAAAGTAAACATTTTGATAAAAGAAGAATGCAATATGGCCTCACATTTCAAGAAATAGATCTAAGGTGTCTATTTCACTAACATTCTGTGCCTGAAGCTGAGAACACACTCCTAAATGTGAATTGCTCCATACCCCCTACATTTCCCAGTCTGGAACAACTAACTACTTGGCAACCAAACATTGCTATTATCAATGTAGCACATTTTATGGCAAGGGAATAAAGAGAAAAAACAATTACATTTTGATGCGGTAGCTGCTATTAGAATAATTGTCTTCATAACTGGGAGACTGCATTGCTTTGTACAAGAAACGTGAAACGCCTTTAAAAATCACCAGACCAGAAAAGTGATTTTTATCCATAGTGCTGTCATTTTTGGTTAGGTGATTTTTGTTGGTTTTTTTCCTTTGTTTGATTGTTTATTTAATCAAGCCCCAAAACCACTCCCAAAACTGCAATTTTTTGGAATACAAATGCTATAAAGAAAATGGTAATGTGTTGTATATGCATTATCTATAGTTAAATAAGAAAATCCTTCAACATTTAAATCTATACAGAGTAAAACTACCAACTTCAGTAGGACCAAGATTTCACTCAAGGTGTGTAAACAACTACTTAGATCCAGTGAGGATATACAGATGCCAGGGCCATGTAAGGGGAGCTTACACATGCCTTGTACATTTAGCATATTTTTTTTAATATGACCAACACCCTCTTGCTAGTAAGTTACCTGAAAGTATTTGTTGGCCTGATCACAACCCCATTGTAGGTATTTTAAATCCACTTTCTGCAGGTGGCTTGGTAGTAGAGTTTCGGGTGCGCCATCAATGACCTGAACAGGCATAGCTACTTTATCTAAGTGAGATTAAAAATAAAAACACCAATTAGTCACAAGATCATACTCAATGTTATACTCTTCAATAAACAGAGTTTCATTCAATGATATATAGCAGGGGTGGGCAAACTACGGCCCGCAGGCCGGATCTGGCCCAGGGGATTGCCACCCCTGTGGCACCATGGGCCCTGCGCCGCTCCCGGAAGTGTCCCTGCGGCCCCTGGGGTAGGGGGGGGCGGAGAGCTCCACGAGGAACCGTGGCTAATGGGCGCTTTGGGGGAGGTACCCACAGGCAAGGACAGCGCACAGAGCCCTCTGCCTCCCCTCTCCCCCCCAGGGGCCACAGGGACATGGTGCCGGCTGCTTCCAGGAGTGGCATGGGGGCTAGGGCAGGGAGGCAGGGAGCCTGCCCTGACCTCAATGCGTGCCACTGTCACCCCAAACTCCTCCTGCACCCCAACTCCCTGCCCTTAGCCCGCACCGCACTCCTCCCTGCACCGCTGCCCTGAGCCCCTCCTGCACTCCGCACCCCCTCCTGCACTCTGCACCCCCTTCCCTGAGCCCCCTCGTACTCCTCTCTGCCCCAACCCCTTGCCTGAGCCCCTTCCTGCACACTGCACCCCCTTCCACACCCCACACTCCCTCCTGCACCCCAACCCCCTGTCCCAGCCCTACATTCATGGCCCTGCATGCAATTTCCCCACCCAGATGTGGCCCTCAGGCCAAAAAGTTTGCCCACCCCTGACATATAGGATATTAAAGAACACCAAGAAACTGATTTTCTGCACTTTCCAATTAACATGAATTCTTTTTCATCTCACTACTTATGAACTCTTAAAACAATATTTCATTTTACTTTAAGAGAATTAACTGTTTTCACTACTTCGGTCCATTCAAATTGCTTGTTTCCTACCATTCCTTTCAACTCTAGGCTTGTTGAATCATCACATAACACTTATGATCCATTTGCAGTATTGATCATAAGCGTTTGTATTTTCTAAAGTAAAAATGAGAAACAATAATGAATTAATCATATTGAAGACTAAAAAGCATGCCAGTGCATATGGAGCCAGATGTCTTGTCATCTCAGTTTTCAATTCAAAACCCCTTGCAAGTAACAACTCGCCCTACTCCTTCCCAAGTTAGTTCCTTTCTTTCCAGCATCCAAAGTTAGTTGAGTCCATCCACTCACTATTCACACCTCCCTCACTGGTCATTCACTCCTGTTCCCATCTAAGCTACATCTACACTGCAGCTCGTGTTAGTCCATTAGCTCAAGTAGTAGAGATCTGTGCTGTGGATTTGAAGGTCCAAACCCTGCCGGATGACCCATGTGGAGTTTATTATGGCACCACATGATGGAATTTCTGTATTTTGCAGGATTGTTTCAAATTAGGATGTTATAGTAAAAAAACTACATAAAAAGAATATTATGTTTGCAACATCAAGCAAAGTTTGGAAATGCCAAAATTAAGGTTACTCAGGCAACCTTAATTTGGCCCCTTGTGCTTTATTATACAGCCTTTAATGATATGATTGCATACTCTCTTTTTCCCAGAGGACCCTTGCCTCATTTCATACACAGAATGGACTGTGCTCTGGGAATAAATCTGGGTTCAATTGTTAATGAGACTGTTGTCTGTAGGACCCCCTGCTTCAGTTGTTGCAGAAGGTGGAAGGTGTGTAGTGAATGAAGTTGGGGACTGCAGGAAGATAAGGAGGGTCTCATGGTCAATGCAGTTGAATGCTGTCCTGGAGAATTAGAGTCTATACCTGCCTCTGCCACTGAGTTCCTATGTGATGTTGAGCAAGACACTTACAAACATTTCACAGGAACATTGCATGTGTGTTCCTCATTTTCTCAGTACATGAGTTGAGACCCTGGTGTCTGATTTGCAGAAGAATTGAATACTCACAGCTGCAACTGAAGTCAATGAGAGCTGTGCTTTGAACATACACAGTGCTAAAAAGTAGTAAATGCTCTGAAAAATCAGGCCCAAAGCATCTCAAATTGGGTTCCCAGAATTAGTGGCTATCTTTTACATTAAAGTATCTGTGCCTCAGTTCCACATTTATAAAATGGGGAGTCCACCACCTCACAGGGGGATTTGTGAAAATTAATGTTTGTGAAACTCAGATATTATGGAGAACCATAGAAAAATCCATGAGGAAATTAATAATTCTGTTTTTATAGGGTTTGGATGGTGTGCAGTACATGAAATATGGGCCACAGCCACTGAATGAAGATAAAAAGCACCCATTCAGAACAATGCAAGGATCCTGTAGGAGGAAAAAATGGAATGAAACCATATAAGTAAAGACTATCATAAGGCATACATGAGAGGAAGGATAATCTAGGTGATTAGGGCACTAGCCTAGGCCATGGGAGACCTGGCTTCACATCCCTGCTCCACTACAATCTTCCTTTGTGACCTTCAACAAGTCATTTAGTTCTCTGTTCCTCTGTTTTCCATCTGTAAAATTGGCCTAGCCTTGGGGTGGCTGGCAGTCTAGGTAGCTACAACATAAGGCAAGAAACCTACAAAAGTCGCCCCTACTCAACGTTTGCTTGAAAAAAGGAGATGATGCTGATGCATACCACAAAGGGTTCAAATTAGGTTGCACAGGCAATATACTTTTCATAAGGTAGAAAACAAAAGAAGACAATCTAACTCTTGCTCATGGCAAGAGTCCCACAGCATAAAATCCCTTCCCTCCCCATTACACTACATCTACATTTTCCACTAGTTGTACTGTACTAAGAATTAGGAAAACATCCTTTTGTGAAAAGAAAAGTTACAAGGTAAGTATGAATCTTTATTGCTAAATCTGACTAATGCTGAGAGTCTGGTTAAACAAGTACGTTTAGCACTTAAGCTTTTTACACAATAAAAAGTGTTCTTTTTTGAAGAGATGTGTATTTAGAAACCAATAGATGTGACATTTAACTATCAAAAACCTCAGAGGTCACACCTCTAGAAGGTTTCAGAGTAGCAGCCGTGTTAGTCTGTATCCGCAAAAAGAACAGGAGTACTTGTGGCACCTTAGAGACTAACAAATTTATTAGAGCATAAGCTTTCGTGGACTACAGTCCACTTCTTCGGATGCATATACCTCTAGAAGGCAGCATTAAAAAAAATTCAGAGTAACTGCTGTGTTAACTGTTATATTAAATAACTAGGAGTAGCTAAATGCTACTAGGAGTAGCAAAAATGTGGTAGTAAATATTAAAGCTTGAAGCCTGAGCAGGAAAGTAAATAATCATATCAAATCAGACCAAACCAGGGGACAGAAGGGAAGGGGGGGAAATGAGTGGAACTACATCAGAACAAATCGAACAGATTTCCAAACACAGCCCATGCCCCCACTTACAGACTTATGTTTAAAGGGATCGCATTAAATACCTGCGAAGAAAGTAGAGGTTCCTTGTTACAATTCAGACAACAAAATAGCCAGAGATAAGTAAGCTACATTTTATCTGATAAGAAAGATTGCCAGTGAGCACTGTTTTTTTCCTAATGGATTCTATCTTCCTATTTCACAAAGATGCAATAATTCTAACAACTTTGGAATTTTATTTTAATCATCACTAATGTACTTGATTTTTTAAATACCATGATGTGTCAGTGTTTTGTAAATAATGAGTTGTCAAAAGGTTATCATTAAACATTGTCTGTTACAGTACTAGCAGAATCTATGCCCTTTTGCACACTAGTACCTCCTACTACTGGAACTTGCATTTAATATTTCCTGCTTGGAAGATAATCTAAACAAGGGGAAAGGGCTGTTGACTGAGGAGTTCTTAAGTTTATCTGAAGTTATGCTGCCAATGGGGTTATCGTTTAGTAACATCTTTTTAGAGACACAAGCTATATCAACATAAGAACCTGTGCAAATTACAGACACAGTATAATTAAAAGTTATCCTCCTATGCATTTTAGTGCAGACAAGAAACAGATGCATGCAAACTTCCTCATTACTTCAGGACCTGTACATTATAACTAGGCTTGGAAGAATTAGATTTTTGTCAGTAAACGCTGATTTCTCTGTGCACACAAACCAAGGAAAAAATATTTCCATTGACAATAATCAACGTTTACAGACAGGTAAAATAAGAAAAATGCTGCTGGGGAACTTAACAGTTCAAATAAGGATATTTAGTTTTTATATTTTGACTTGTGATGTTGAAAATGTGTTTTAATGGTTATAAAGCTAACTTTTTGAATCTCAACGCCTACTATCATTAAACAATTATTGTGCCTGAGTTCGACAACTGAGAAAATTGAACTCAATAAAAAAAATTTTAAATGCTTAAAAATAAACATTGATCTTACCCGTCAAAATTATAATAAAAATGTAATTCTGCCAAGCCTATTAATAGCCAACTAAGAGAATGTAACAGAATAGGTGACTGATAAGCAGCTGCAACAATGTCAAAAAAGTCTGCTGATACCAGAAGAAATTGTTTATTTTCACCACTACCGTGAATAGGGAGGGAAACTAAGGCTTTGTCTACACTACCACTTTTGTCGGTAAAACTTCTGTCAGTCAGGGGTGTGAAAAAGTTTCATCAACAAAAGTGCTGGTGTGAACAGCGCTATGTCAGCAGGAGACACTCTCCTACCAACATAGCTAAAGCCGCTCATTGGGGATGGTTTAATTATGCCAACAAGAGAGCTCTCAGGAGAGCCAGCTACATGGGAGACCCTATATCAGCTGTAAGGTCTGTAGTGTAGACATAGCCTAAGATATTCTACATTTATAAAGAGAGATTCTTGGGGAAAGGATGTTTTAGGGAGGCTCTGGAGGAAGATTTTTACTTTATTTCTTACTGTAAGGTCTGATTATCTAGTGTTATATATGATGGAGGTTGCAGGTTTTGCCTTTATGTATGATCTCATTTTTACATAATTAAAAAGGGTGCCAAGAGGTTAGGATAAGTTGTATGTGTATACAGCTAATAAAATAAAATATCCTTGTCTATAAAGGTAATATTAAACTGAACTTTACAGGACAAGTTATTAGTGGTGAAGGAACAAACATACACACACACTAAAGGAGGGAAATAATAAGATATACAGTGACTAATATTACAAGTCATTTTTCTGAAGATAAAAGTCTGTTACAAAATCAATTCCCCCTCTTACAACTCTGTTGCACTCCCCTTCATCCTGCTCCTCAACTGAGGAACCATGCACACATCCATTTCTTGTCTGAACTAATATGATTTGAAGAAAACAGCCTTTTCATGTAAACATAACAAGCCAGTAATGTGCTACAGACAAACGCACTGCATGGGGTGTGGAGGACCCAAGCTGATTAGATTACCACAACATCAGCATAGGGCCACCATTTTTAGAATCTCTAAAGGACAAAAGAGGGAAATTACAATTTTTACTCCACATTTACCATAAGTAACTTAAAATGTACAATGTTTATGGTCAAGCATTTAGGTATCCTACCTATGTCAGCCATCTCTTTCAGTTCACTGAGGTAGGTCTCAAAAAGCAAAAAAGCCTTTTCATTACTAGTTCCTTTAGGATGATGTAAATAAACTAAGGGCTTGGCTACTCTTGCAGATGTAAAGCGCTTTGAGTTAAACCAACCTTCGGGGAGCGCAGTAGGGAAAGTGCTGCAGTCTGTCCACACTGACAGCTGCAACGCACTGGCGTGGCCACATTTGCGGCACTTGCAGTGGCATTGGGAGCGGTGCATTATGTGCAGCTATCCCAGGGTTCAATTGGCTGCAACATGCTTTTCAAATGTGGGGGGTGGGGTGGAGTGTGACAGGAAGTGTGTTGTGTGTATGTGGGGAGAGAGAGTGGGTTTTTGGGGTGCTGAGAGTGTGTCACCATGCTGTCTTGTAAGTTCAGACCCCCCTCACTCCCAGCCTCTCTCTCTCACACACTGACAGCAAGCAACATTCCTAAGTAATGTTTGCTTTGTCGCGGAGCAGATAAGCATGCCAGCTGTCAGAAACGGAGCTTTGAAAAGGCATATGCACATTCCTACAGCTGAGTTCAAAACAATTACTAGAGTAGCCATTTGACTTAAGGGGATTGACCTCCGGAAATGTCCCAAAATCAGAGCACAGTAATACAACACCTCATTCACACTGACGGGGCATCTCAGCCAAGAAGCATCAGACCTTATTCCTCTCGCTGAGGTGGAGTACCAGGAGTGCTCTAGCCACGGAGTCAGAGCGTTCTACGTGCCTTGCCAGTGTGGGAGTGAGTTAGAGCACACTGGGCGGCTTTAGTGCGCTCTAACTTGCAAGTGTAGCCAAGCCCTAAGGCTAACCATTCTTAAGTTCTGACTTTAATCAAATGTAGGGTATACAATTTTAGGGACCTCAGGGCTTTTAACTACTGCACATTCCTAAATGACTGAATATAGGAGAATACAGGACCTTTCTAATTGAACTACATTATATTTCTCCCCTATTTTGTACTACACACTGGACTGTTTATTTCTCCTCCCCTACACCTGCAGCAGTAGGGTCTACTCCACTAATGCCTTTCAATAAAAAAAGATTTAGATGTGCCACACAAGGAAACATGAATGCTAGATATAAAAAACTAAAATAAGGCGGCAAAGATGAGTATTTTAAATACACCTCTACCCCGATATAACGCTTTCCTCGGGAGCCAAAAAATCTTACCGTGTTATAGGTAAAACCACGTTATATCGAACTTGCTTTGATCCGCCAGCATGTGTGGGCCCGCCCCCTCCCCCCCGGGGCACTGCTTTACCGTGTTATATCCAAATTCGTGTTATATCGGGTTGCATTATATCGGGGTAGAGGTGCATACCTTAGGCTCCTTACCGTCTCTACAAAGGGGGTAGGGAGAATCATTCCCTTTTAAATTGACACAGAAATTTTAAAACTGTTTTCCATTTGTTCAGGTTACAGGACAGAAGAAATGTTAAAAGGGAGGGAGGGAGAGAAATTAGGCCTATAAGGAGCCATTTTAGTATCACAAAACAAAAATATACAGGATAAAGATTACTATTTTCTAAGCTTTATGCATACAATCCAATATGCAATCATACTATTACACACGCCTGCTCTTAAATGTTGGGTCAACAGAAATTTATGTTGTATGTCACATAATAGCCCCTCTTGGGTTTGTTTGGTTTTAATCATAATGCATAAATCCAGCATAACTGCCAAAAAAAATACCCTTGGCACCTTCAGTTACAGTAACCCACCGTATTCACAAGATATAACGACTCCCTTTCATTTTCAAACCAACCCATACAACATGAAACACAATCCAAAGCAATTTATATAGAATCATTCACGGTTTAGAGGGGAGGGGACCTCACACCCCTTCCAAATGTAAAGAGATGCCTCCACAGGCGCCAACTTTCCTTGGCACTGGTGGGTGCTCGCCCCCGGCCCCGCCCCGCCTCCACCCCCTCCCTGCTCCTATTGGACCCCTCCCCAAATCCCCGCCTCTTCCCCCTCCCTCCCACCGCCTTGCCGCGCGAAACAGTTGTTTCCCGGCTCAAGCGCTGGGCGGGAGAAGCAGGACTCCCGGCCCACTCAGGGGAGGAGGCGGCGAGGGGAGCTGCCGGTGGGTACACAGCACCCACCAATTCTTCCTCGGCTCCTATGGCTGCTTCCCTAACGTTTTAACTCTTACTCCTTCCCCCTCGGCAGGAACGATCATCATAACAGGAGACTCACCTGTAATGATCAGAGGCCAGGCAGCAGCTCCCCCTTAGCTGAGCCCCTTTCCTACCCCAACCAAACCAATGCAACGGCCCCCCTGCGGATTGGTAAAGGGGAGTGAGCAGAGGGGTTCCGCAGACCGACTCGGAACCCTGCAGGGACCAGCTGGGAAGCGCCTTTGCCTTGGGACCTGTGTACAACCCCCCTGCCGCTGCCGTCCCCCTCCTCTCAGCCTCCTACGCTCCCTCTATGTCCCCGCCTCTCTGGGAAAATGGCGCCCGCCGCTCTCCCCTCCCTCCCGCTACACGGGGCTCACCCCTCCCGCCCGGCAGGGGCAAGGTTGCCAGGGCGAAGCCAAACGGCCGCCATTTTGCTTGTGGGCTGGAGCGCAGTCTGTGTCCGTTAAGTCCTCCCTCGTGCCATGTCCATTTTACAAAGGGGGTTTTCTCGCGATCTTAAACTGTTCGATAGCCGGGGCCAGAGAGCGCGGCCCGCGATCGAAAAATGCTAGAAAGCGGCAGCCTAGGGGACGGCGGGGGCGAGGGGACTGTGTCTGGGGGGAGACTCGGGGCGATCGTGCAGCGGAGTCCACAGGCGGGGGGGCTCGGCGCCAAAATGATGCCGGGGGGGACCTAAAGCGCGGAGCGAGACCCTGTTTTCCGCAGGGACGCAGACCTCGAAACCTGTCGTCAGCCTGCCCCCAAGTGAGCCCCTTCGCCAGCCTGCCCTCTGACCTCTTGAGCCTGGCCCATCCCTACTGACACACACAGGCTTTGGGGGAGGCTGCCAGACCCAGGCAATCTCCCCCACACAGAGTGAGACGGGGGATAAGAGACAAAAACCCATTCGGTGAACTATGGAGGGTTGCTGGCTGATGGGATCTCCCCCTTTTCCTCCCCAGTTAGTGGAGACCTGAGGCAGGTCTGGCTGAGGAAGTCTCTCCACAAGTGACCGAGGTTTAGCGCAGGCCTGCCTAGGGGAACCTCCTCCAAGGAGCGAGACTGGGGCACTAGGGCCAGCTTTGCCTGCAAGGCTTCCCTTTAGCGAATGACACTTGTGGGGGCAGGTCTGGGGCAGCTCTAATCTGGACTATCAGAATATCAGGGTTGGAAGGGACCTCAGGAGGTCATCTAGTCCAACACCCTGCTCAAAGCAGGACCAGTCCCCAACTAAATCATCCCAGGCTGGGTCTACACTACCCGCCTGAATCGGCGGGTAGAAATCGACCTCTCGGGGATCGATTTATCGTGTCCCGTCGGGACGTGACAATCGATCCCCGAATCGACGCTCTTACTTCACCAGCGGAGGTGGGAGTAAGCACCGTCGACGGGAAGCCACAGAGGTCGATTTTGCCGCCATCCTCACAGCGGGGTAAGTCGGCTGCGATATGTCAAATTCAGCTACGCTATTCACGTAGCTGAATTTGCGTATCTTAAATCGACTCCCCCCTGTAGTGTAGATGTAGCCCCAGCCAGGGCTTTGTCAAGGACTAGTCACAGGCAGAGCAAGAGGTAAGTGTGTGTGAGACAGGCGCAGCCCTTCTGTTTATGCTGAGCTCCTTCCCTTCCCCCACATCCCCTCCCTGTGTGTGCTGCCAACACACCGCCCCGCATTCCCCCTTTGGCTTCAGCCCCTCCAGCAATGGCTGAGTGAGAGAAGGGAGGTGGCGGCTGGGGTTTCATTCGACACCCACCAGGGGCTGAGCGAGCGTCCTTCAGTGCGCAAACTCGGGGCACCACATAAAAGCTGGGCTGGCAGCTCTTTACCCTGCCTTGATGGAGCCGCCACAAGCGGGTGACCGGAGAAGCCGCTAGCAGCGGTGCCATAGCCTAGCCTTCCCCGTACCTTGGGCATAGAGGGGCTGTAAAGAACAGCTGCTGTGGTAGGAAGGAGTTGAGATAAAGGGATCTGGACGCAGAGGAGGCGGCTGTAACAAGGCATCGAGTATGGGGGCGGAAGTGATTAAATGTCTTGTGGCTAGGGCGGAGTCTGAGGGTATTTTTTCCTGTCTAACTCGTGTGTGTGTGTCTCTGTCTCTCTCTTTCTCTCTCCGTAGGATGCTTGGTTGGGCTACTCGCTCAGGTTCTGCCTGTTATTGTGTGAAATGGCGGCTGCTGTCTTGGTGGGTTTGGTTTTGTTGTTTTTTTCCTTCTTTCTCCTCCCATTCCCCTCCCCCACCTCTGTCTTGGCCACTTCTCCGCAGCGAACCACGGTGAGGACTGAGTCAGGAGGAAGAGGAGTGGGGAGTGGACCGCATTGAAGCCAATAGCCAGGCACGCCCGGATTGTCTGCTGCTGACATCATCTTCCAGCCGGGGCAGCTGCAGCTAGGCAGGACTGAGGAGCTGTCGGGGGAGGCTGGTGCAAAGGGAGAAGCTGGGCGCCATGATCCCAGCACTGGGAAATCTGTGAGGGCACGGAGACTGAGGCAGGTTCATGGGAAGGGAACGAGAAGGCCTTGACAACCATCACCCAAGCAGTGCCGTGACTGAGGAGATACGCTGGGGGAGAGGGTCAGCCTGTGCCTGTATTTGTAACTGTGTCAGTACAGAATGGCACAGGGTCTCCCTGGAGAGGGACGGGAACTGCATGTCCGCCGGAGGTCATGTGACCGCGTTGCAGTCTTGTGGGGTTGTTTGGCTGCAGACCAAGCTGGCGGAGATGGTGGCTGCTGCTGGGGAGAGTCCGCGCTTCCTTCCCTGCCCCATCATCCCCGCCCCAGGCTGGAGAGTCTGGGTGGATTTTTATTTCCCTTCCCTATTATCCGTCTGCAGAAGGGTGTAGCTGGTGCTGCTGAGAAAGGTTCTCGCTTCTCATCCCATTCCCCACCCCCAGAATGTGGCAGCTCCTTCTGGGGAAAGTTCATTCCTCCTCCCCCTCTTCTCTGCATTGAGCTTAGCTGCTGCAGAAGAAAATTCTCGTTCTTCCTCTCCCTGCCCCACCCCCCTCTTTCCATGAGAGTCTGGGGGCGGAGAGTAATGTTTTCCACAACTCCCAGACAAGGTTGTAAGGTGTCTGATTGCTGCTATCTAAATTAGGTCACATTTGTGATCCTGTCTTTGACTCTCCTTATTTCACTTATAAGAGCAACTCTATTGGTTAGATTTCCTGTGGTAGTGCTTGTTGGTATCTCTTCATCTTAGTGAGACACTTAACTATCCTAGTCCACCTCTGCACGGTTTGCAAATATACTCATTTTTGTGAACTGCTGTGTGCTCCCTCTCAACATTGGACCGATTTGCAGAGGTGGCTTACTAGGAAAAATGCTGAAAGTGCTTCATAGGATTGACCAGTCATGAAAGTTGACTAATATTTTTTTGGGTGATACCCACTTTTCCAGTGGAACAGGTAGTTCAGACCACAGATATATAGAACAAATCTATGATTTGAAGTATTGCAATTGCACTAATGTATTAACTCTTGGATTTGTTTATATATGAATAGTAAAATCCTTCCCTGGAAATGTTATGTAATCCTGGTAATCTTTTAAAGATGCCATACTTAAAACTAGACTGAACAAAGAATTAGGAGCTTTAAAACTAGAAGATTCCATAGTTTCTCCATAGAGGGACTAACGTGTTATCCCTCTTAAATTGTTCATTTATATTCTGTTTGCTTCTACCTGCGTTTCCAGACAATAGTGAGTGAGGAAGGGGGAGCTTAAAAATACATTGTCTGACCTCTTATCTCGGAGGTTGTGTACTGTTGCATTAAAAATAGTACTGCAAATAAATATTTGCTACCAACTTGCACAAATCAACGCTTATCTGATCTGTAAGTCGCATGGGTGAGTTGGAGTCTAGTTACATAACTAAATGTGGTCCCAGTTACAGCTCCTTAGCCTGACTTGTAGCCCTGGAGTGACTGGCATCTGTGCTACTTTGAGAGGTACTCTGAGTAGTTTCGCATAGTTGCAAATAACTTCACTACGGGAGAAGGGCCTCCTTTCTATCCAACATCAAATAGTGTTGTCTCCTATTATTTATTTTTTTCCCCTTGAATTACATGTAGGAAATTTAAGACAGAAATGCAGAGATTAGACCAGGGGTAGGCAACCTATGGCACGCGTGCCGAAGGCAGCACGCAAGCTGATTTTCAGTGGCACTCACACTGCCCGGGTCCTGGCCACCAGTCCGGGGGGCTCTGCATTTTAATTTAATTTTAAATGAAGCTTCTTAAACATTTTAAAAACCTTATTTACTTTACATACAACAATAGTTAAGTTATATATTATAGACTTAGAGAAAGAGACCTTAAACGTTAAAATGTATTACTGGCACGCGAAACCTTAAATTAGAGTGAATAAATGAAGACTCGGCACACCACTTTTGAAAGGTTGCCAACCCCTGGATTAGACACTGAAATATAGATGGCTAACTTAATTATTTGAGGCTCAAAGGTTTAAGAACTTGGACTGTCAGACTTAATTTATTGTTAAGACAGCATCTCCGGGATTAATTTCTGTGTTGTTTGGTCTAATTTTTTTATGAAAAGATGCAGTAGTTTGGGAGGCTTTTTTTAAGGAGCATGTCAGCTGAATGTCTGGAAATGACACTGATTGAAGGAAATGATCTATTATAAACATATCCAAAATATTTTGTTCTAGAAACATGATTACATTTACAAAAGCATACTTGCTTAATTTAGATACTTGAAGCTAGTGGATTTTTTGATCTATCTGGATCTACAAAGATTTGTTCCATAATCTCAGCAACTTTACTATTCCTCTCTCCCTGTCCCTGCCACCACAATAGCGGAGCATGCCTCTGCTGTTCTTACCCACAGTGCATATCTTACATTGTCACAGGAGCCTAGTGAAAACAAATATACTTACATCTATTTGATTGTGGTGCTTTGGTATTTATGCCACAAGAGATGTGTAGAGCCCATATGAGCAACCTTGGCACAAGCTAGGAGCGGGGAAAGCGGAAAAGTAGTGAGGCACAAGCAGAGCCTTACAAAAAGGGCAACCGGACAGAGGAAAAGAGGGCCAGATAAAGGAATTTGTTCACTTTCACAGTAGAGACTATCTCCTTTAGACTAAATAACTCAGGGCATGCCTCCACTACTGCTTAAGTCTATCTAACTTGCATTGCTCAGGAGTGTGACAAAGCTCTCTTCGCCCCCCGTCCCCAGAAATATGCCTTTTGCACTGTTCACACTGGCGCTTTTGCGGCTTCCACTTCTTGCTGAGGTGGAGTAATTATGCCAACAGGAGAGCACTCTCCCGTCAGCATAGCATGTCTTTACCAGATGCGCTACATTGGTGCAGCTGCATCAATGTCGTGTAGACTTGCCCTCAGTCCCCTTAAATTGGAATTGTACCTCTTGTATTCAATCGCTTCACATTTAAGAAAACTTTATTTGGTGAATGAGGTGCACTTAGGACTAGCTGGTGCCCCTTGGATTTCATGTTGGAGCTGAGGGTTCTGCTGCATGTAGACCTATCCCATTCCGTTATGATAGGCAGTGTTGCCTGCACAGCACTACTTCCTTTTCTCCATCCAGCCCTTGTAGAGGGGTAGCCAGAGGTAGATGAGTGGGGAAAGATGAGAGTATGACAGACATAAGGGTCCACTTACTTTTCTGTACTATATAGCATAAAGAGTCCTGGGGGCACTGTTGGCTGAGGAAACTTTAGTGGTACAGCTCCTCTGGAGTAATGGTGACTTGGATGGAATGGTCTCTAGAACTTGAGGGGGGGCAGAGGGGAGGGAGAAGGTAGAAAACGGAGCCTTAAATGCTCAAAAAAATCAAAATATTCTTCTAGAGTTGAGCATTGTTAATATTTTTAGTTTAATATAGGTCATAGCTCGGATGTAGTAGCCTTATTCAAAATAACAATTTTATAGTGTGGCTTTGTATTATAGAAACCTTCAGTTTAACTGTAGACTAAACTGAATACAACTCCTTCCAACAAAACGATGGAAGAACCAGGCTAATGGAGGAATGGGTTGTTGACTTAACTGTGGTAGTATTTTGGTTTGAAACTGGATGGTTAGATTGCAAGCCAGTAGTGAATAAAATTGAATTTTGGGGATTACCTGCACCTGCTGAAGTGAGGAGCAGCTAGCTGCTCAACTCTTCAAAACTGAAAGAAGTATGGATAGTAAAAACCCAGAGGGGAAAGATAATCTGATACTTTGTGTATTTTCTCAGATCTCTGAATAAGATCCATTACCTCCCCCACGGTGTCTTAAAGACATGGTAGGTAGAGGTGACCTGTTCCAGAGAGAACTGCAACAACTGGATTTGTGAGCCTTCTATCCAGAGTTGAAGTACCACTTAACTCTAATTGTTCCTCTTGTGTGTTTCTGCCATTAGGCAAGATACTAGAATGTTCCATTGGAGGTATCTGGGATTGGGTTAGAAAGATGTTACTTATGGTGATGTGAGCATTTTGTCTAAGTTTAAAGACCCATTGTTGAGATTCTGACTCATGTGATTGACACATTGGATACATTGGGCCCCAGGAAGATTTTGGCGTATGCTCGAGCCTAATCTAATTGCAATAGCTGGTTTTCTTGTGTTTATTGAGAGCAAAACATCTTCAGTGTTGTATCACAT